CAAAAAAGACGTCATCTTAAAGGGATATTTCAAGTGTTTTTAAAGTGTTTGTATGAGGTTGTTCTCCACAGTCAGTGTTCTACTACATTACATTACAGTCATTTAGCAGACGCTTTTATACAAAGCGACTTACAATTCAGATTCTATCACAATTCTACACCATAGGCACAGCTACAGGAGCAATTTTGGGTTTAAGTGTCTTGCTCAAGGACACAGCGACATGCGACTGGGTGGAGCCTGAGATCGAACTGCCGATAGCCCTGTTATCCACTTCTCCACAGTCAGTGTTCTACTACAGCAGATGAGTTTATAGAAACCAACAGAACCAGCACGAGAGAAAATCAATGTACTGCTGAGGATGTATTTTTGACTTTTGACTCCTAAAAGAATCTATATCCGTGTAAATTGAAGCTATATTTAGAATATTTTCATCTCTTTACGTTGCAGTCAGACAGACCTTTCTGCTGAGGAACTGAAGCTTTTACTTCTGCTCTCTTCAAAGGAGCCAGACTCCATTCACAATAAGAGTTATTTTACCTCACAGAACACAGGAAATGCTGCTCTACCGCTGCCTCTATAGTTTAGTTTAGATGGTTAGTCAACTCACCCTTTAAAATACCAAAGTCACAAAATGACACAAACTAATAAACCCATCGAGGCGGCAATAGACCAGCAACTTCCTGTTCTGAGAGGTTGAATTACTGTTTGTGTCAATGGAGTCTGGTTCCGACCAAGTGGTGCCCGCAGTAATCCCATCTCAGTATAAAATCCCACTTGTGCCCTCGTCTAATCCAAATAATTAATGAACAATTAATACTTTAAAAAATATATATTTCAGGTTCGGAAAAGTATGAACATTTATATTTTTACAATTATTTTATCTTATATAAATTATTTAATGACCATAATAATTTATTGATGAATTCAGTTTTTTACGTGTTGATAATGTTTTACGTTCGTCTCAATTTCCTCCAGTTGACTATTGTTTGGCGTATATGACTCTTAGTCACCCACAAACAGAATATCTTTTGTTTTCAGCCCATCAGATGAGAGGAACCTTTAGTACAAGTTAAAGCACGGAGTTGGAAAGTTTCTCATAGCTGTGATTGATTTATGGTTTTTAATATCCTCACTCAGTAATTGTTGAAGTATGAAACTTCAGCAGCTTCAGTTATTATCTCTGTTCAAAGCTGCAACAAACATGTTGAAATGTCCACAGCACCAACTTGAAGACCCTTGAGTTCCCTGAGAGGAAGAGTTCCACATTTTGGGAAAGTTGCTTTCCTGCCAAGAGTTGCACAAGAAGACCGATGCCAAAAAACATGAGTGGTTTCCATCTCATCATTTTCTTGACAAGAAGGTGAATAAATGCATTTTTTTAAATGTTCAACTTTTCATTTGACTTGACTGAGGCAGGCATTCAGATTCACATATTTAAATAAAACATTAAAATTATAAAATACAAAAATAAAAAAAATCAATATTCACATCAACGTAATATTCCATATTCATCATCAGCCAACATCTGTGCTGACATTGACGTATCTATGATGGGTGTTTGACATGTGTCCGATAATAATAAGAGTCAGGAGGCGTCAAACTGAAAGCAGACACTTCACCGACGCCATAGATTTACTTCTAATTATAGTCGCCTGTCTGCAGTCTAAAGTCATATCGTTGGTCTGCGAGAACACCACCTCTCATCTGCACTTATGAGCCTTTACACGAGTTTATCTGTTCAACTGTCTGTACAGATGTATTGTTTATATTGTCAGTGACCTGCTACTTGGACTTGTAAAACACAGTTTCCGCTCTTAAAACCATTGACTGATAGTTTTACACACTCTGCACAACGTTAGCTTCAGTGTCTTTACGAGGTTTCAGGAGCCGATTTGTAACTGAAGTATCTTTGTCTCCAGGCAGATTACAGCCTGGCAGTTTTATGATTCTCATGAAAAGTTAATAAATTATAACCTCCTGTCTGTTTGTGTTCCAGATAAAAACGACAACGACACAGCTGTTGGTGAACTCGACCCCGGTAATGTTCGGGTACGGAAAAACACCAATAAACCTTTGAACCCAAATGAGACACTTTAAAATGAGACGTCATTATCGAAGCAACCGACCTGGTTTGGGGGTCCAACTTCTTTCCGTCCAGAGTGCACACTCGGTGAGTCGTGAAATTATTACCTGTTGGTTATAGGTGCTAAGCTCGCTCTCCTCTGGGAGTCTAAATAGCTCCTCTTTAAATAAGCTGTTGCAGGAGCTTCAATTACAGGCAGAACACTTGTGGAAACTTGTCAGCACAGAAAGGGCCCGAGGTGCTCCGCTTGTTTGTTTATTAGGATGTCCTGATGTGTCCCAGGCTTAGGACGAGCTCCCTCCTTCCCCACCCGGTGGAAGATATCTGAGGAAGCTCCGGGATGAGCACAATGTGTGGACACACGCCGCTCACCTGAGGCCTCTGACAGGACACGCAAAGAATGCAGTGAGAGTTTTCTAACTTGATCAGCTGTGGCTGGAAATGTACTGAGCTGAAGGAAATGTACCCAGTTTCCTCATCAGAGTGATGAAGCTCGATGGAATCCATCACAGATCAAAACTTCTGCTCAAAGTTAAAACCCACTGATTTTCAGTTGGAGATTTACACAAAATCAATAATTATGATAAACACAAGTCATTATTAGGAGTCATTTTTCTTTTCTGTTTAAATGGGGAGCAACACACATTAAAACACAGTAAAAATAGTACAGTATAATCTTTTGGATGTTGGAGTGTCGTAAACTAACTGAACTTATGGGTTTGTAGCCATAGATAGATTACTGAGCCCTGGCCTTCAGCTCTACAAAATGTCTCTCAAACGCACCAAGTAACCAGGAAAAGATGACAAAAAGATTACAAAAGAGACGCAAACAACTAAGATATACTCAAAACAGCTGCAAAGAGACAGACATTCAAACTGACTTCAAAGAGAGAAACAGAATGACCGTAAAGAGACACAAAACAACCTCAGATAGACACAACAACTACAAAGAGACACAAAACAACTACAAAGAGACACAAAACAACTACAAAGAGACACATGACTGTAGCTGGAGGGTCTCTCGAGTCATGGTTGCATTATCTCTTCCATTGTTGTGTTTGATGTGCAGATAAAATAATGCGTTAACAGATACAACGGTTAATCGTCGTCATACTGAACAGTTTGTTGACCGATCGTTGACCCCACCTTACCCTCAAGCTCTGCACAGACGAGCAGGAATTTTCGACAACATGTTCTCTTGTGAAATACAGACATAAATAATGGCTTTATAATGACTGCACTCTACTCAGGCATGCCAGGGTGTTGATATTGTGCATGCTGTTTCACTGACACATCTAAGTGTAAAAAGCGTCCATAACTGAAGTTTTTCTGAATCTTTTCTTGCAATAATATCAAAATGTTTCCAGTGAGAATCCATATTATTCAGTCTTGTGGGTATTTGACTCAGACTCGTTTTCCTCTAATGGGCGACCCGGACTTGTCTTTATTTCATGGGTGTGTTGATGTGGATTTGACTCGGTTGTGTGGGTGTTTAGACTCGGACAAGTCTACGTCTCATGGGTGTTTTGACTCCAATCTGTCTCGGACTTGTATAACTACAGGAATTCTCCCTTCCTTGTAGGTGCTTTAGCTCTTGACTTCTTTCAGTCTTGTGGCTGTATTGACTCATTACATTACATTACAGTCATTTAGCAGACTCTTTTATCCAAAGCGACTTACAATAAGTGTATTCAACATCGGTTTTCGAGAGAACAACTAGTCACCAGAAGTAATAAGTGCATGTTCTTTCCTCAAACAAGCATCTAAGAGCATAAACCAGAGCCAACGTACAGTGCAGAAACAAACGAATGCAATAAGTGCCACAAACTAATATAAAAACAATAAGTGCAATAAGCTAGTATGAATACAATAGATGCTAAGTAAGTGCTAAGCGGAAGGGTAGGCCTTCTTGAAGAGGTGAGTTTTCAGCCTGCGCCGAACGACTCTGCCGTCCTGACGTCAGTGGGGAGTTCATTCCACCACTGTGGGGCCAGGACAGAAAACAGCCGCGACCGGGTCGATCGGCCGCAGGGACCTCTGAGCGACGGGGCAACCAGTCGCCCCGAGGTAGCAGAGCGAAGTGGTCGGGCCGGGGTGTAGGGCTTGACCATGGCCTGGAGACAGGAAGGAGCTGTTCCTTTCACTGCCCTGTAGGCTAGCACCAGAGTCTTAAACTGGATGCGGGCTCTTACAGGTAGCCAGTGTAGAGAACGGAGAAGGCAAGTTGGCTCAGTCTCGTGGGTGTTTTAACAACCAAAGTCTTAATTTTAACCGTGTAGTTTTGTACATAACTGGCCTCCATTATTCTTCCTCATTAATCTGATTTCATTTCGCTGTTTCTCAGTCTTTCAACAGTTTGTCAATAAACTAAAAGAATGAAAAGAGTTTTTCAGAAAAGCCTTTATTAAGGTGACTTTGGGTTTTCAATTCAAATAAATCAGTATTGTAACTGACGTGGTAAAGACACATTTAACTATGTGAATTGTAAAATGTATAATTTTTATGTTTAAATAAACACAGAATTACTGATGTAAAGTAGATGAGAGCATAATTTTGATCAAATTACAGACAGTAGTCTTAACGACCACATCATGAAATCTGTGGATCGGCAGGAAGTGCAGTTCTGGAAACGGTTGCCAGATTAAACCCAGATGAGCTTGATTTTGGTCGGCTTCAACAGTCTGGGTGAACAGCTCCACCCCGTGTAGCACTGACAGGTGAAGTTCTCGGCCCAGACCTGCAGGTCGTCGGCGGAGGGGTGACCGATCGCCACGTACTTCCTGTCGGACCGCAGGATGCGGAAGTGGGCGGGGTTCAGGTGCAGGTATTGGCCGGAGTCGTAGCTCTTCCTGAGGCAGCGGCCCCTCCCCTGGCACAAGACCTCGCTGCAGAGCATTGCGGCCGCCGTCACGTTGGCGATGTACGGGTTGAAGGTGGACGTCAGGTACTCGGACAGAGACTCACAGGCAGCCTAAAGGGAGAGTTGGTTACAAGTTCATTAAAAAAATTAGAAATGTATCATGGGGTGAGCCGAAATGGAAAAAATAGATCTGGTGAAGTCATGAAATAAATTTAGCAAAATATTTCAATTTCAATTTGTATCCCTGTAGAAACTGTGTTTCTGAGAAAACGTCAGAGCATCACCACAATCATTGTGATTCTCTGGGGAACCCAAAAGTCATGACGATCCATCCAATAGTTCAGTCTGCACCAAAGTGGTGGAGTAACAAACCGACCGACCAGCAGACATTTCTACTAGCATAGCTACAAATGTATTTGTTTGAACTTCACACAATTAATGACCATTAACTTAGACAACGCACAAAAACACTTTGTGAGTTCTTTCACATCTGTTAGTTGAGATAACAAACACTGCAGCGTCACAGCTGTCAGTTCCTCCTCAAACAGGAAACAAAGGCAGGTTAATTATTGGCTGATTAAAGCCTGGTCATCTGTGTTCTTCTTTACAGTGTGTTCTCATGCCTGCAGACTCGGAGACTTTAAAAGTGAGGCTAGTATTAAGAGGAAGGATGATTAGAGACAGTTTCTATAAATAAATGTATTTTGCCATATTCGACTGGGAGCAGACCAAGTGCGTTTACCTCGTTGTCGTAGTCTTTGGTTCCTCCCCACATTACGACCCCTGAAGCTCCCAGAGCTGCAGACTCCCCTACGGTGCTCACCAGGTCCGTCTAAAAGAGGACGAACCACACAGGAGATTTAACATGTTCCTAACATATATTTCACACTCCTAATAATACGCTTTTTAAGCTTGTTTTCATTTTGTTTCGTTAGATAACTTCTTTGAAAGTCAACGTACAGAGACTTAAAACATGCTGCTGATGGATTCATTTCACAGCAGTTCATAAAGGTCTGGTGCATAGACTTGTGTATAAAGATGGAAGCAAAAACAGCAGTATATCTGTGGCTGTTTTCACGGCTAAAAAGCAACCAAGTCGAACAGTGTGGATGAGATGTTTGCAGCTCGACTTGCAGAAATGATAACCTTTGCAACCTACGGTTAGTGCAGAAATGACTCAAGGTTACTGTGAGGAACTTTTATTTTGTGTTGATTTTGGTGGTCCCTGTGACATAGTCCCTCTAATTTTACTGCAGCAGGGTCTGACATTCTGTCCCGCTCAGTCCTGGTTCTGGTTCTCCCGTGCCTCCCTTCCCTCCAGTGGGTCCAGCAATACGGCCTGGGTCTCCAACGGCGTGGTGTCGGTGTTGGCTCTCCTCCCTCCGGAGCTTCCGACTGCAGGTCAAAGGCCGCAGTGAAGCCAGTTCTGGGTTTGTGCATCGTGGACCGGTCTCTGCTGGAGGATCTGGGTCTGTCCGTGGTGGACCGACTCTGCTGGAGGCCCCGCTGGAGTCTGAGCTGAAGGAATTTCTGGTGAACCTGCATGATGTCATCTGTTTTCACCAGAATCCGACCCAATGGCACCGATGACAAGCATTAAGAATAACTCTATAGAAATAGACCATCTTCTCTCTGATGGTCTAGTTTACTGATGAAGGTCATAGAGGATCAGGATTAAACTGAGACTGGTTCATTACCAGCTAAAAGACTTGGAGGAACTTTTGACCTGTTATGAAACTCTCAGATTAATATCACGGTGTTAACGCTGCAGACAGACACCACTCCACGCTGCTGGAGGCCCAAGCCGAATTTCTCGGCCCGCTGAAAAGAAGGGGAGGCACAAGAGAACCTGAACCAGGACTGAGTGGAGTTGTCTGTCAGACCCTGCTGCAGTAAAATTAGAGGTTTTCTTAAGGGACTCTGGTGCTCGGAAACACTACAACTTTCATCCACAGGGGCCGCCAAAATCGACACAAAATTAAGGTTCCTTGTAGTAATTTTAAGCTAGTTTCACTTGGGTCTGGAACATCTGGGTCTGGTCCCGGTACAGTGGTCTGGAGTAGACGTAGATCGGCATGGTGTATTGATGTTTAGGCAGCGCGGCCACCCTCAGCGCCTCCTGGACACGGTTGCGGACGTAGAGCTTTGCCTTGGGGGAGTTCCTCAGGATCTTCCGGAGGTAGATGGAGGGGAAGAGGGCAGTGCTGCGCTCCCACAGCCACAACATCTGGTTGTTCTGCTCCTGGGTCTTCGCGGAGCACTTCCCTGTGTAGCCGGGCTTCTCCCAGCCATAGTTGTAGCAGTCGGGAAACAGGTAGAAGCCCCAGCGCCGGCTCGGACGCTCGTCGATGCCAAGGTTGATGGTCTTCTCCATGAAGCGCCGCCCAGCGTGCTGGAACTGGCTCTTTGCCAGTGTGGAAATTTTCTTGGATGACAAAAACGGGGCCATCTGCATGGCGTGAGTGATGGACAGCTTCTTATAAATACTTTTCGACCCCCAGTTCTGGTCCCACAGGGGGCGCCAGGACTCCCAGTCGATGACAGCCAGCCCAGGAGAAGAATCCTGGGAGATGATGTGATCGATTTGACTCTGTGCCTTGGCCAGATGCTCCGTCATGTTGCCCTTTTGGGGGACTCCGCCTCCGTAGAGCTTGCGTTTGGCGGTGTCGACTTTGGGGTAGAGGCCGAGGCGGTCCTCGTAGAAGATGGTGAGGAACTGACCGTGCACCACCGCGGGCGTGGTCACCGCCTGGAAGGCCGCGGTGTCCAGCAGGATGTGGAGCTGGCGACACCGATCGGTGGGGGCGTTCCATATGGCCACAAAGGGGTGGTCGTGGATCAGCGGTGGCTCAGTAGGCGGCAGTGCGAGGTCGGCGGCGACAGATCCAATGATACAGAGGGCGAAGCAGGACAACAAGGACGAGGCCATCGCGGTGGCTCTGGACGAGAGAAAGACAACAAAATAAGGTTCAGTCCCAATTCATCCATGTGTCTAAATATGTCAGATTGTTTGATACATTTTGCTACAATTTATAGATGCCAATGTGGTATCTGCATGTTTAAGTCTATGGACTGTATATAAGAAGTGGACGTAGTCATCGTGACATCACCCATTGGTTTGTGGACTGTCGTTATGAAGCTTTGAGTTTCGCGATTTGGCCATCTTGGATTGGATGTTTTTTATTGCAACAAATGAACGGAAGTCACCATATTTGGATTGCGGAGGAGTGACGTAGAGACGACGTATACGTATCTGGTAGCGGCAGCGACCTGTCAATCACAGTAGCCCCGCCCCTAAAGCATACCATCCTTTATGGTCTGTTTGACTCTAAATGGACCATATTGTACTAAATGAACATCATGCTGTATTGAAGAAGACTTGAAACTAGAGATTGAGACCATAAACTCATGTTTACAATGTTTACTGAGGTAATAAATCAAGAGAGAAGTAGAGTCATTTTCTCATAGACTTCTATACAGCCAGAGGAGTCGCCCCCTGGTGGACACTAGAGAGAATGCAGCTTTAAGACATGAAGCATTGACTTCACTCACAACCAGAGGTTGCCGCCTTGGTGCGTCCAATGCAGCGCCTAAAGTCATTTCCTGCTGTGTTCCGGTTGGTTGGTTGGTAGATGTTGGTCGAAGCAGCACTCACATTGTGAGAATTTGCTCCTAAATTCTTGATTCTGTCAACATTTTTGAAGGAGACTATTTTCGGCATATGCTGATTATTTTTATGAATGTTATACATTTAACATTTATAAGTTTATACTATGTTCATTTAGTTTCCTTAATCCAGATGGTTTCTGGATCAGCGATAAAATATAATTTGTTCTGGATTAAATAGTTTTAATTTGATGATTTTTCTTGTTTTGATTAGATTTGTAGGGTTAATAAAGTTATAAGACATATTAATAACATGTTAATTTGTTCATTCTATTTCCTTTTTCCACATCTGACCAGGCACAAAGAAAGATGACACAGCTGTAGACAAACATGTATGTTATTCCACTGGATGTAAATGTATCGACAGGTCTCGTTTATAAAACGTAATGCATCTCAAGTTACTTCTTGATTGATAAAGATTAGACTTGATAAATTACATACAATAAAATTATTCTTTATACACTTGAAAATAATTCAAAGAAGAAAGACAAAACTATATATAACTAAAGATTTACTTAATATAAACCAAACATAAGGTGTTTGTTTCTAATTTTCCAAAAAACTTAACATTTTGTCCTGACACGTTTTTTTGAAGATTAACACGAAAACAGTTTACTGTCGCTACAAAATTAGCAGAAAAGCTCCTAAAGACAAATTGTCATCAAAAAAATTGACAAATTGTCCAGATGTTCAGATGATTGATTTCATATATATATATATATATATATATATATATATATGTTCCTACCTGCTGCTGAACGACTGGTGTCTAAACGTCTCTGTTTTTTTGCTGCTTCACTTCATGTGTCGGAGGAAATGGTTTCTTCACTCTGATCATTATCTGACCGATGACCCGTCTTCTGGCCCGGACTCCACATCCAGTCAGTTGTTGGGAGAGTTGAGGGTTCAGGGGTCGGTGCCTTGCTTATGAGCAAGCTGACAATATGTGTTATATTAACGCCCTTTTGTGTATTTCTTCTGTTGTTTTTATTTGATCATGGTTTTAACAGCAGAAACATATACAGCAGTATGAAGCAGTCAGTCTGAAGACGTCAGCAAAGATGACATACTGAGGGGTTGGTAGTATTTTCATAATTTATTTGTGGTTAAATAGTCTACAAAGTGTTCATCTCTGGACAAGGATCACTCTTAACCTGATGCTTCTCTGGTTTTAATGACTGAATTTGGAACAGCTGGACAATTTCAAAAGCAAAAAAACCCTTAAAAGCACTTGTAATTAGTCAAAGAGATATTCATTAGTAAATCAGACGCCTTCCTCTCCGAATATCACATTTGAAATGATCAGCATCAATGTTTGATCATTTGAAAATCAGATTTCTGCCCTTTACGAACATATTATGTGTGACCGTAGTGTTCACCAGTTTTTGCCTTTGACTTGTTTCCCTCAGATGAAACACTCGCATGTGTTTTGAACGTGTGGTATTTATTCACGAGTCATCGTCGGTGAGAAACCTCTCCGTTCTCACCTCTTCCTCTTTTCAGTCCTCAGTATTTGGGCAGAAACCAGCTGGTTTTATATTTCCATGTTTATTGATTTGAATTTGAGAAAGACCACTTCAAGCTTTATTTCAGACATATTTCTGTTTCTGCTCCTCCTCAGATCGTATTTTACAAAGAAGACTAAAGTCATTGCGACACTAAAATGCTCATACGTGGCATAAACATGTTGCACAAAGTGGAAGTTGTTTTCTAATTATCCAACATGGCTGCCAACATCCTCTCTTTAAGAACCACAGACGTGCTGAAGAGAAGTCTTTATTTGCAGTGCATTTACATTCAGGTAACATTTTGCATGTGTTGCATAGTCCTTGTTGCATATTTGGTTTACAATCTTCAGAAGAAAAAAATTACAATACAAAGTGCAGGAAACAGTTACTGCATCATGAGACCCGGGCTTCACCTGAAGGCTGGTTTTGAGATGAATGTACAGATTCAGTTTCAACCAGGATCAGTGTGACAGAGATGTGCGACGGATGCTACATGTTTAACTTCAAAGACCAGAAACACAACAGACCCCAAACCAGGTTTCAGGTCCACCTCTGCTCTGGATGTGGTTTGAGTTATAATGCTCTCTGTGTTATAAACAGTTATCCAGTTCCAGTCAGTTTCTCTCGAGGCCTTTTTAACAAATATTATTGAGATATTTGTGTGCAGCTGCCACAGAAAAAAAAATCAACCATCTTACGGTGAAAGACAACCGAGCCGCCAGAACAGTTTTAGGCGTTATGCGTCTGTACAAACCGCAGATATGTTGAAAGTCCATGTTTCCAAACCCAAAATATCTTTCAGATCAGCCGTGTATCACGCTGGCAGAAACTCACAATGACACGCAGTTAAGTGTGAAACAATTGGTTAGGTTTAGGCATCAAAACTACTTCAGAAAAAGATCAGGGTTACTGTTAAAATAATAATGCAACAACGTACGGTAACAAGTGTAACAACGTAACTAGTGTAAATAAATAGCCGTCGATAGTGAACTGTCTTTCGTAATGTTCCGTAACAACATTGCTGAACAAATGTAAAGTAAACGTTGACTTTTGGTTTCATATGGGACATGAACAGCGGTCTCCTGTGTGAAAGTCCTCTGTTTTCATTTGACCCGCCCGTGTCTTAGTGGTCTGTCTTGTTATTAAACCACATAACTTTCAATAGGCGCGAGTAGCACAACGTAACTTACTCTGACCATATGTGAAAATGTACAATACAACATTTTTGTGCAGACGTTTATTGTTCCCAGAGGATGAACCCTACTGACTTCGGTGTTCCTGTCTTTTCCTATAGCGCCACCATGAGGTTGACATTTGTGGTTTTCTCTGAAATGTTTCAAGAGCTATTGGTTGGATTTACATTTAATTTTAAACTATGTCACATTCATCGTATTCGTGGTTTGCAGAAAGAAACGTTTCACAAATACATTTCTAATCAAAGTCCATGACGGGTTTGGGACATTTTTACTTTTATTTTAAGCCAAACCCTGATGTTTAACCAAACCTAATGAAGCACTTTTGTTTCAATTTACAACGTTAACTAACTTAACGTCTTAAACTGTGACCGGATTCCAGGAGATAAAAAGGTTTCCCTCAAAATGTAGATGAGGATGCAGTTTAGTTGTTTGAGGACATAATTCTTTAGGAGACGTTCAGTCCAAAAGTCTGTGAACTGAACAGGATGGCGATACCGGGTTTAGAAAAGGCATGTTGTTTAAATTCTGATCCAGTTCAAGCATCTGAAGCTGATGAGGAAGATTGAAAGCTCCAGAAATGGGGAAGAAAACAAACATTGAGTGTAAATAGTTCTCCGAACTTTAGCATCACCTAGTTATCAAACTAACCTGCATTCAGTCAGCATTAGTCAGCTTTCTTTTTCATATTCTCTCAAAACTTTGCACCAGATGATTCTTCTGTGGTGCAAAGTGGGCGTTGAAAAACAGTGGAACCGCAGAGAGCCACCGTCACATTCAGGTACGGTATGTGTCGTCTTTTACATCCTGTTCAGTGTATTATACACAAACCTACAGTCTGTTGATTTGATTCCTCTGGACTGAGATATAGTAACATCAACCTCTATAGAGTAAAACAAACCTGATCCTCTACACTGATATCTATATAGAAAGGATACAGATATATAATATGTTGTCGATAGCACCTACAACACGTGCACGGCGTGTCCTAACAGACTCGTTTTCTGACATAAAATACGTACAAGAGTATAATGCACAAAAACAATACACACTTCATGTATAATGCCAAGTGAAATAACAGCTTATTGTTAAAACATGCCATCAGAAATATGTCTTCAGAAGCACCACAGACCAAGTGTGAAATAGGAGAGATTATTTTGTGGGACAGTAGCACCCTTTTTTGGTTTGTTGTTGCGTCTCCACAAAACAGAGGATCATCCTCCAGCGAGACCGATCCCAACACGCAAACCCTTTTAGCTCCTAAGAAACAAACATGATCCCTTCACTCCGATCCTCAGCTCCTCTGCTGGATGTTGACTCAGTCCACAGTTTAACAAACAGCGTATTCATTTACTACCTAACATTCCTGGGAGAAGATATGCATTGTTGGGTGAAGAGGCAGTGCAGACTGTCAAATACAGTTCAGCTGGTTGAACTGTGAACATCCCTGTGTGTGTGTGTGTGTGTGTGTGTGTGTGTCGGGGTAAAGTGCCATCACACTGCTCTAAAAGGAAGTGCCATGTTTTGTTTTGTTTTAAACGCGTTATTTTTCAACACAGCAGCTGTTTTCATTTCACATTGACCCCCCCGTTCATTTAAAATGTCTTTCTTCCGCTCAGCAGCGACCTCAGCTGAGTGTTGATGTGTGTCGATCAGCTGAAGTTTCTCTAAAGAAGAAGCCCGGAGTGACGTAAACGGACGAAACCGCTGTTATGAGCACAACACCAGAACTATGTGATTCAGGGGTCTGGAAACGGGGACAAATGGTTTAGATTTACTGATAATGCTCAATGTTTGGTCTCTTAAAGAGGGTGGTGCTGGTGGTGCACCAGCTGAAACAGTAACATCCTGGGCTCAAATCCTCATTCTGTGTGTTGAAAGGTAACATCTGTACACAGCTGTGTTTAACAATATTTGTTTTGTCAGAGTGCATCATACGACCGCGTCCCCAACGATAAGTTCAACAGGAGCATCAGCAACAAGAGGTGGAAGCTGCAGCCGGTCAGCGGCGCCTCACTCTGCCCTCCCTCCCACCGTTCACCCTGCTCGTCCTCCCACTCCGTCCTCCGCCTCTCCTGCTCGTCCTCTTCCTCCCCCCCACCCCACGGCCCGTCGTCCTCCCTCACTTTGTTGATGCTGTCGCAGCGCTCGCCCTCGTGGCCCTCGTAGCAGTGGCAGCGAAACCTCTCTGCCAGCAGCTGCAGCTCGTGCTGCGAGTGCCACCCGGTGACGGCGAAGTCCTCGTCGCCGGAGGGCCGGATGTGGTAGCTGTCGGCGCTCAGGTGAAGGTAGTGGCGGGCGAGCGGGTCCCGGCGGACGCAGCGGCCATTGCCCTGGCACAGGAAGTCGCTGCAGACCTCGGCGGCTCGCGTCACGTTGGTGATGTACTGGCCCAGGCGGTGGCTCAGGAAGGCTTTCACCTTGGTGCAGTTATGCTGTGGAAACAAAACACGCAACTGTCATGACGTGATGTGCTTTGGCTCATATGACAACATCCAAATGTCTCATGTCCTCTCAGCGTTTGGTCGTGCACCTCTGAGTGCAATCAGAGGTTTTCAGACGAGACCGTCACAAATAGTTTACTGATTAAAGCATTTTACAAGTTTGGGGATCATACAAAAAATGCCTTTTCACTTTTAGATGCTTTACAAAACCGGAGGTCTTAAAAATCTTCATTTGAGTAAATATTTTGCAGCCAAATCAAATTGAAAAACCACAGACTGTCTGTCGATAGGAAGTGGACTTGTTCATCATGACGTCACCCATTGGTTTATGGACTGATGTTATGAAACCTTGAGTTTGATGATTTCGCCATCGCCATCTTGGACATTATGATGATCATGACTGCGTGCACTTCTTATATACAGCCTATGGTCTGTCAGCTTGTTGAGTTTACTGCTGTCAAACAAAATGAATGCAGCTTCATCAGGAGTCCCGGTGACTGTGTGTAAAGGAACAACGTAACGACGGTTGTCATCAGGTTTGGCAGTTCGCTAACATTGTCCAAACTAAGCTCATGCAGCAGGTTTTAAGAGTTCAGATTCTGAGACAGTCAAACGCAGTTTAGATGAACTCTTTCTCCGTGCAGACCGGCCATAAGAAACACGAGCATTACAGTTCTCAAAATGTCAAAAGTGCTTTCACAACACGCAGCGACCACAAGACGTCAGCTCTCTATTGTCTGACTATAGTTACTGCTGCAGTTTGAGTGGAGTCCAAAACAAATGAAGTTTGTTTGTTTGTTCTTCACATGCGAGTATACGCGGTCGGTCCGTCTCAACACACAGATGAGGAAACAAAGAGTTTGGCAGCAGAACATGTGACCTGTATTTAAATGATCTTTGTGTATTGATGAACGGAGCCGGCTGACAGAGGGCGAGAGGGAGTCGAGGACTAAGGACACCCACCCTGGACGAGGTCAGGTTCAGGTCGCCCCAGATGACGAATCCCGCCGCTCCCAGAGCAGCACTCTCTCCGATGGTGTGGATCAAGTCTTTCTGCAGGAGACACAGGTACAGACGTCAGGTCGCACACGTCTACACTCTACAGGTAGATACGGTTAACATCAAAGATATCACTATGGAACTAACCTAGTTCATCACTCACATTAAGAGGATTATTTATTACAAGCTTACTGACATGTTATGTTTAAATATGCAAATGAGGCATTATGTAACGGTATCTTTTGGTGAATTTAGGAGAAATCTTCAAACGCAAATAGATGAAGTACTTAAATAAACAGCTGAATGTGTATTTTGGATGTTTTCCTTCCACTAGTCTGATAGAACACGTGTTATGGAAGCAAAATAGACCAAACATTAAGGCAAGTATAGAGTACAAGAAAAGATTCTTATGAACCAAAAAGCAAAACAAAAGAATATATATTTTTCATATATAATCATATATCTTTGAATCTCATGAACTTGTAAAGACTTAACTATTAATAAAGAAGAGCTGAGGTATTTCTCAAATGAGCTTTTTCTAAATTAAATAAACAAACGACTCTCCGACCAGATTTTGTGTTTTTGTCTTTTTATACACATTTTACCAGCGTGACACAGATATTTAAAGGTTATTTCTGAAAGTCCTCAATGAATCGGCAGACCAGTAAGCACAAAGTACAACCACTCTGGTGTTGGTGGTGTAGTTCGGAGAACCAGGAAACCACAGCATCGCAGGATCATATTTAGTGACTCTGAGCTGCTTTTCTGTGGATCTCCACCAGATGGCAGTGATGAAGTAAACTGACCTTCAGTCAGTGAAAAAAAAAAAATCCATCTTTATGTCAGAGATTTGTCTTTCTAGAAATGTCTTTAATTAACATCTTTGTAGGAGTTCAATTAGTTTTGTCATGGCTTATATTACACGGGCAATTCTGCATAATGAGTACTTTTAATTTTGGTACTTGTTTGTAATTAAACAGCAAAGTTATTCCACAGTCTAGCATTTTGAGGTCAAAAAAGAATAAATAAATCAGTGAAAGCAATCTCACAATTTAATCTGGATAACATCTCAATGTTTCTTTTATATTTATAGTTGTCACAAACTTTCATCACCCAGGACAGAGTCTCAGTAAATATATATTGGAGGGCTGTAGAGGAAACATGCTGCAGGTTAAAGCTAATATTAACTCAATGTGAGCCGACACATGAGCTTCCTGCTGATTTAAAGGTGCCGTTTACCGGATTGGAAGCATTTGTATTGCCTTGCATGTGGAGCTGCTCGATTCTCATATTGTAGGGAATGGAGCAGCACCTGTTGGGGCTTTTGTGGTCTTTCTACTTCCTCGTTCATGATTACGTGTCATATGTAGTAACTTCATGGGATATCCACGAAGGACAGCAGATTATTCTTCGTGGGTGTTGCTACGAATGCTGGATGTTTTCAGTAATGTGATAATGTATATTTGAGTGGTTAACAGATATTTAAGTCAACAAAGTACTTCATTGTGCTCCAGCAAAGTGGCAAGAAGTTAATAATTATTCAACCAGAGTCTGTAAATAAAATGCTTAATACTGAGCAGTAGAACAAGTGCGTTGCTGTGCTAACGGTTGTTCTCACCATGGTGAGGAAGGCCAGGGCCTCGTCTCGGTAGCCCAGCCTCAGGTACACGTAGGTGGGGAGGTCGTACTCCCTGGAGGTCAGCGAGGCGATGCGAAGCGACTCTCGGATCCTGTGCTGGGAGAAGTGCAGGTTGCCGATGCTGTTGGTGTGACTCTTCCTGATGGCCACGGAGGGGAAGAGCGCCGTGCTGCTGTTCCACAGCCACATCAGCTCGTCGTTCCTCAGCCTCTCCAGCAGAGGGCAGAAGCCCGTGTAGTTCTCCTCGTGCAGGTTGTAGTTGTGGCAGTCCGGGTATAGGTAGAAACCCCAGAGCCCGTTGGGGCGAAGGCGTGTCCCCAACTGGATAGTCCTCTGCATGAACGCCTTGGCGCTCTTCTCAAACCGCCGCCGTGCCAGCTCTTCCACCTGCGCCGCCGTCACGTTGACGTACGCCTTGGCGGTCAGCTCCCTGGACTTGCGGCGGTAGATGTCCTTCTTGTGCCAGTTACGGCTCCACTGAGGCCGCCAGAATTCCCAGTCGATCACGGCCAGGCCGCGGAAGTCCTCCGAGGGGATGAAGTGGTTGATGTCCTGGTAGGCCTTGAAAAGGTGCAGGTCCAGGCTGCTGTTCTGTGGCAGGCCGCCGTGCACAGCGGCGCCCTGCGGCGTGTAGTGGGGGTAGTAGCCCAGCCGGTTGGCGTAGAAGATGGTGACGTTCTGGCCCGTCCAGTTGGCGCGCGGGCTGCCGTTGATGTGGAAGAGGCGGTTGGCGTTGGTGGTGACGTTGTACTTGATGGTGCACATGTCCAGAGGGGCGTTCCAGGCGGCGATGAAGGGCTTCCGGCCAATCAGAGGCAGCTTGGCGGGTTTCTGACCAAAGGCGGCGTGGAAGAGCAGGAGCAGCCAGCAGCAGGTGAGGGCGACGGGTACGACGTGGTGGGAGGAGGATGCCCCGCCCACTGGCACCACAGGCATCCTGGGGTTCAGGAGGAGCAGCTGTCAATCATCCTGAAGAGAGAATAAACAGAAACAATGAATATCTTTCAAACTTCTTTTGGCAAAGCTTAAGCTTAAGTTCACGTGCCACGTTTATTGCGCCCTCAAATCCATTGTTTAGTGCGCTCAAAAGCGAGAGCGGTGAGCAAGCATTTTCAAGAGCCTGAGATAAAAATAGTCACCCATTGTTTTGTGGAGTACAGTTTTGAAACCTCGAGTTTGAAGATTTGGCCGTCGCCATCTTGGCTTTTTGCAACGAGTGAAGTGACCATATTCGGACTGAGGAGGAGTGACGTAGAGACACCGTATACGTCTCTGGTAGAGACCTGTCAATCACCGTAGCCCCGCCCTAAAGCATACCCATACAACCAGAGGAGGCGCCCCCTGGTGGACATTAGAGAGAATGCAGGTTTAAGACACGTCTGCATTGGCTCAGTACTACGGCTCTTTTTAGAGAATACTCCAAACTATTGTTTCAGCCCGTCAACTTCACCTGACCCTCTGAGTCAGGTGAAGTTGGAATGAAGGGCTTCCGGCCAATCGGAGGCAGCTTAGCGGGTTTCATCCCGCTGAAGTTGGAAGTCGCAGCGGGATAAGCTCAACTGTTCCTCCGAATTTACCCCGAACTGCTCATCCACAGCTTGTGCTCTGTTTTACTGTGAGTGTTGAAAGCACAATAGAAAGCTTTCGCCTTTTGCTTTTACATGATATTTTTGGAGCCAATAGTTTTTTTCCATGTTTAAGAAGTGTGAAAACATCTGGGATGCGGTCGCCACGCTGACATTCTGCAGAACTTAAATCCTCGTTTGTTTTCCAGCTGTTGCCATTTTATTTTAAATTCCTTTGAGATCTTTTTCAGAGAATTCAGAGATGCAATAAATGAATGGACGGATTGATACATTTTTTTATGCACAAGCCATGTGAAATATTTCTACTTGATGAATTTGAACATGTCCTCAGTATTCTAACTTGTGTTGATTAAAAGATGAAAAAAAATACTGAAAATCCGGATTCCATCAGTGCCCATCCCTCTGGTTCCCCCTCAGGTAAACACCGTTTCTGTTGTTTGCGTTGTTAGCACCGTTAGCTTCTAGCTGGAGGCTCAGTCATCTCAGCAGTCTCCATATTGAGAGCCCTGTGGAGGCAATACAAATGCTCTGATTTCGTATTGAGCAGCTTTAAATGAATCATCTTTTTTTGGAGGATTTTGCTCCGATTAATGATGAATGCCCTAATCCATATTCTAATCATCAGGAACATCAGTATTCTGTAGATTCTTGCAGAAATTGGGGCTGGATTGCCATTAAATCTTGCTCCCTCGAGGACTAATCCTAAATATTTCTGTTAGCTTCTGAAATTTCCTCAAGCACCAAGACACATTTTCCACTTTCAGCAGCCTGCTTCCAGACCTCTGAATTACCACGCACATATCTGATGAAGATGGGTCTGATTAAGGTCTCGTGTTGTGTTCATTCACAGCTGTATCTCCTAATTTTTCTAGCAATTTCTACACTGTCAACACAGCTAGCTAGCTTAAAAAATACCAGAGATTCTTTAGATTCAGCTTCTCATTCGTAATGATTTTCTGCTTTTCTTTGTCTCATGTGATTATAAACTGAATATCTTTGGGTTTTGGGCTGTTTGTCAGATAAAACGGGACATTTAAAGACTTTTTTAATGGCCTTTATAACTTATTTCCCCACATTTTATAGACAAAACAACAATTCCATTTAACAAGAAAGTATTTGCCAGCTAAATTGGTTGTAAAAATATTTATTTTCAGTCCTAAACAACTAACTGTTGATATTTTTGCTCCCCAGAGGATGATTCGTAATAGTTCTAGTGAGCCTACTTTAGACTGATACTCTTAATTTTTTTTGGGTCTCAGAGGCTCATTTCCATGGCACCCAGGGGTCAGAGGTCACAGAGAGGAAGTCGGTTGACACCCAGGGATTGGAAGGAGGACTTCAGCTGAACAGACCGCTGCTTTCCTGTCCACAACCCGTCCTCCTCCGACCAGAGCTGAAGCCTCAGGCCACAATGACGGGCTTCACTGCCAAATGTCTCAGTGAGTCGCTGCCTCTCGTTCATGAAGCTGGTTGAACATCCAGTCGGAGAGCAAACAGCGAGACATTATTTGGACATTACTTGGACTTTGATAACTTGTTAAGGTTTCTAAATTATTAACTTTTATAAATATTTAGTGCTTTATTTACTCTAACATTTAAAAAAACTAGAGGGCAGGAATTAATAATTTTCATTATTGATTATTCTGCAGATTATTTCTAGTTAACAAAGGCAAAAAGAAAACACCTCAAACAAGCGCAACAACTTTTTGCACACAGCTTTTCTAATGCGATTCTTAGAAATGTGCATAAAAATATGTTGATGGCAACATGGCTAAAGTGTATGCTAATGCATTAGCACGTCGTACTTCTATCATCATCAGCATACAACCGACTTCAACTAAATGCATGCAGAAGCTTTAGAGTTTACTTTCCCTTTCAAGTTGTGTGTTTTAAAGCGTTTGCTTGACGTATAAGTTAGTTAAAGTGTTTCACTTCCTCTCTGACCTCACGACGTATAAGCTAACATATTAGCATGGAGAACACCTTCGTTATCAAAGTGCACGATAAACCAAGGACGGCTGGATTCCTCATGTCGTTTACCTGTTCAGCTTTGAGCTCCATGTTTACAGTGTTCACAAAAACCTCCATATCAACGACCAGCTGTTTAGGAATTTAAGTTACCCTTTGCAACAGACACTATTTTGGGTATTGTATAGATTTGCGGCTGGATGACGGCTCTCTGTTTGAAAACCACTTTGAGAGCGGACGTGGTTTGATGACAGGAACGATTATTCTCTTTGATGGTTTTCTATCCGAGCTTGAAATCTCTGAGCTCAGTCAGCTGATCCTGGTTGAGTGACATCAAGGTGTGACGGACCTCGGATGCGTTTCAGTTTGAATTCATCTTTCATGTGTCTACAGCGGTACCACAAGGCTGCAATTAATGTTTGTTTTTATTATTGATTCATTCTTTTAGTCATTTTCTCTATTAATCGTTTTGTCCCGTGATGAGTTGCCGCTAACCAAAGTGACGTCAACAAATTGCTTCATTTATTTTCCCAAAAGTCAAAAACGAAAGAATGACTGAGATGATGAATCAATTCATTTTCTGCCGATTTTCTTTTTTAGAATGCAAAACATAAAGATCATCACGCACATATGCACAACTTAATGAATATAACTCGTTAGTTTCATCAACATAGATTAAATGATGACGTCTTGACAGATTTTACTTTTGGACTTTACAACGCTCGGTGGAAATGTTTGGATCCGAGTCGGTAACAATCCTACGCACCTCTGGGATCTAATTCTACACATAAAAAAATACAGATTTCTATCTGACTACGTGCACAAATACCGGCGTTAAACTGTGAATTATTTATCCAGAGGAACTCGGAGCCGCCAGGTCGGTCTGGCATCGATTAAGATCAGAATTTGTTGATGTCTGTGGTTCTTGTGGAATGGCTGCTTTCATTCAACAAAAACAAGAAACCGAGACGCCGTCTAATTTTGAGTGTCTTTTGAGTGTCTCTCTTGGAAAACTGGGGTGAATTTGAGCCACAGTTGCCCGTATCTGTAGTGAAGACGGTTCTCTCGGCAGCGTCTACGAACCAGATGACGACGCCGGGCAAAGATCAAGATGAAGATACGATGTCGGCACAACGCCTTGCAGTTCTCTGTAACTCCGAGCATCTGATAACAGATCACTTCAAGATCTTTCATCAAAGGACTGAAGCCAGTTTTCTATCTTTTGCAAAACCTTCGCAACCTCTAAGGAGCTCAAGTCACACCAGAAGCTCCTGGAGCGCCGGCGAGTTTTCAAGCCCAAAGAAAGCATTTTGAACTCGGGAGTAAATGGAGCCGACAGTTTGATGGAGGCCTTTTCTAAGAGGATGGAAAGATGAGTGCCTTCAGAGACGCCAGGAGAGGGAGAAGCATGTCCTCGAGGTTTGATGATTTTGGGAATTGAGCCGAACCACCCATGATGGAGGGCCAGGGGGGGGGGGGGGGGATCCAAAAATAACAAGTTCCCTCACATGCACCATCTGTCCCGTAGATATGTTCCAGCACCAAGTTGCATTACTACTCAGTCTGATTCTGGCTGCATGGACGCTTTAAACTCCATGGAGGATTTGGGCATTTCACGCTGCTGTCCGGTTCTCTAAACACATGAAGATACCTGCATGTGGTTCGAGTCTCTGCAGCTCGATGTCTATAGACATGAGCCGGACAGGTCTCCAGGAAGGAGGGTCCTCAACCTGAAAACTGACGCGGTATGATTTGCAAACGCTCAGCGGTGTTGAAACTTGTCGTCCCATTTTGTTTCAGTCAAACATTGAGATTCTTTGTAGTATTCCTTGAAAACTATTTCAATTTACAACAAAACATTCAAAGTTCAACCCTGTTACATCTTCTTCCAAGGTTACTGTTAAAAGTAGTGTCGGTGTTTGCAAACGTAAAAAAAATATATTATTTTGATAACGTTTGAATTGTGTCGTGAACTACATACATGTTTGTCGATTTAAGAGAACATTTGCATGTCATGAAAGTTGCATTTTGTCACAAACCTGTTGAAGTATAAGAATCTGAAATGATGTTGTTAGGGTCTCACATTTTATACTTCGTCACCAGGGGGCAGCTCTGCCGAGGGAAGACGATGCGGAAGTGTCTTAAAGCTGCATTCTCTCTAATGTCCATCAGGGGGCGACTCCTCTGGTTGTATAGAAGTCTATGGGAGGTTCTGTGATTGACAGGTACCTTCCGCTACCAGAGACATGTATGGCGTCACTACGTTACTCCACCGCATTTCAAATACGATCACTTAACGTTCATCGGTTGCGGCAGCTGTAATCCAAGATTACGCAAAATGGTTTACAAATTTTCATGTCAATCGTGCCCCAATTGGTGAGTGTTTACTAACAGTAAGAATAAGCAGCAGAGAACACAGTGATGCCAAGATTTGCTAAATATACAGTTTGTGATTTGTATTAAATTTGTTGTTCAACTATTTTCTTGAAAGCAGGTCATTTCTTTCAGCACCGTGAGACACAATGAAACAACAGAGAAGCCTGTTACATGGCGGAACACTCATACAACACACAAGAGCAGAGGAGTCGCTGTGACGCTTCAACTGAATCTGAACCTTGAAAACCCTCCAAACTGGACTCGAGTCCTCCGTCACGCGACTCTGCATCAGGACTTTCCACTAATCGCACACAGACAAGAAGCTGGTCGAACCACGCTAACCAGAGCAAAGAGAGCATTTCAACAAATATTCCTGGTTCATGATTCATGTTCCTCACGCGAGAGCCTGAAAACAAAAGCTGGAGGACGGGGGGGAAGTCTTTCCACTCCGCTGAGCCAAAGCGTTAATCACAGCGCCTGGTGAGCGCCGAGAAAACAGATTGGTGACTTTGGGTTTTGGGGAGGATTCGTCTGATGGAGAAAACAGATGGAGGACCTCAGAGGAAGAGAGGAAGCAAAACTAATGGAGGTGTAAATGGATCTTTATTTATTCTGATGGTCTTTGCTTTTTCCAAGACATCCCTTTGTCGTCGTTTCTATAACGGAGCTCTATCTTAAAATTGACCTGGAAGAAAACATGAATACTTTTAGTCTGATTGAGAGGATGAGATAGTGATGTACTGCTGCCTCTTGTGGCCAACATGATTATTACAACAACAAATACTGAAAATGATTCTGACAAAGAAAAACAAATCGTCCACCAAAACCTTTTTCACAGATATTTTCTTCAAAAGAAACTCGGATATGTTGGCAAAACAGTTTTCAACTGTTTCAATCATAAACACATCAGAGAAAACAATTTAGATCAGACTTAGAAAACAGATCACCAAAATTATTATTTCTCACTTGGCCTCTCAGGGCTTCCGTATATATATATATATATATATATATATATATAATATTTATACTATTGTTTCTTGTACATCTGTAACACCTGAAGTTCACCCCCCTGGGGATCAATAAAATGCAACTAAAACGTGTTGTTCAATGTGACTCTCCATATCTATATATCGATATATATCATAAGATGTTTTGTTGTTCTTCAAACACCTGAAGCCAAGTCATCCCTCCGATGGACTCGTCTTTACTCGACTTAGTTTCACTGCAGAGCTCAATCCTGAGATCCTGTCGGCTCATTAAGAGACTCTACTTCAGCTTCTGATCTTTAACCTCAGACCGAACAACAACAACAAGCTCCTATAAAGAACTGCTTTTCTTTTATAGCCGCCTGATGAACTTTATTCCAGCTGCTCTCGCTGGCATTCCTCAAAACAAACGTGACCTCCCGTGTTGTCAACGTTTTTTTTTTTTTTTACTATTTACAGTAAGTCTTTATGAGTCAGAGCGTCTCCCAAATGACTGAAACTCCACCTAACTGAGACCTTTAATGTCCCCATTACAGCTTATGAGCAGCAACATTAATGCATGCTGGGTAAAAAGAAATAGGAGAAAAACACCACTTCAAAAATGTGCTGATTTCTACATCAGTGAAACTTCCTCCACTGCCAGACCATTGTTAGGGTGAGCCAACAGTCCTGGCATGGCAGGGCGTGCCCCCCCCCTCCTCCTCCTCCTCCTCCCCCCTTCCCCTTCCTGCATCACTCAAAACAGACGCTGAACCCAGAGCTCCCCCGCCTCCCTCCGGGTTTAAAAATACACTTTGCTGTCCTCTTTTGTGCAGCAAAAACAAAAGCTGACAACTGGAGCTGCTCACCTGTAGATGCGGCACACGCCCGATTATTAGCAGTCCGGTGGGGGGGTGGAGGTCTTGTCTCCGGGGTCACCGCAGGGGTCATGGTGGCCCTCTGCGCCGTACGTCGTCCGACACGCTCGCGTTGGTTCCCTGTGTGGCGTCTGAGACACAAGCCAGCCATCCGCACTTATATACGGCGAGGAGAGGGAGGAGAAACCACCACAACACAGTGATTAGAGAGCAGAGGGAGGGAGGGAGGGAGAGACACACTGTAAAGAGAGGGAGAGACACACTGTAAAGAG